AAATATATCTTTAATTTTATCTTTCCTCAACGATACGTTACTATACGTAAGTTTATTTCACCAATTAGTGTTATTTACGTCACCACGTGATTTGTATTTAAATGCAAATTTTGATGACAGCGATATATCTTTTTCTCTTGTTTACTTTTATTTACAGGAAAAAACAACTTCAAGTTTTACGAGTCGCGAAAATAACGCTTGTGTCTTGGTAACAATAACATAAGGTCACACGGGTTAATTGGTACAAGGCGACGGGATTTTTTTTTTCAAACGTGTCGTAAAACCTCAGACGACTTGGATTTCGTAAAAGGCGCGGTGGTGGCGCGACGCAACCGTTTCCCTTTCATTCGTGCATTCTACGCTGCATAAGCGCGCACTCCGTGCACGCGTGGGCGCGCGCGTAACTGCACGTGCACGTGAGCACGCGTGTCGGAACGTGCTATACGACATGGTCTGTTCGCTCACGTGTGCTAATAATTCGGCAAACAAAAATCGATTTACGACATGTGAATTCCTTCAGCCCGTATCGAACTACATACTGATGGAGGTTTAAGATTGCGAAAATTGAAGATTAGAATTCGATGATTAGATAATTTTAATTTTTTCTATTCCATTTCATTTTGATTGGTCAAATTGGTCAATAATCTTCAATTCGCAATTCTCAGTCTTCGTATTCTGATGCGGACTTAAGATCTTTAATCGCGAGCAATGCACGCTTCGTATTTTTGCTCTCGTAAAAATTTCGCGAGAATTCAAAGATATCTGAGAGTCAATTTGGACAGATTTGTCTATAAACGATTGCAACAGGCTTGCGGAAATGAGGAGATAAATCAAATGACGGGCAAGAAAATGCGACGCGTACACTCGGATCATTCTTGCGATACACAGGGGCCTTTTTGCCAAATGCCAGGCTGCAAATGGAGTTAATGTAAAATTGCCGATACGGTAAATAGTAGCGATTAAATTTATGGCGTTTACTTGCGGTAGAATATTGCGCAAGCGACGCGGTCGATTTTACGGCTGACAAAGATCGATGCTTTTACGTATAGACGTGACGCTTGTGTAACCGCGAGGAGACAGATGATCGCGCTGGATCGCCGAGAAGCGGAGTCACCTTGCTCCTTTTAAGCATTCATACATATTAAACACCTCAATTTCACTCTCTCGCGGCCGTGTACGCACCATCTTTGGGTTTCATATTCACGTTAAATTGTGCAACTGCACGATGATGCATCGCGTAAGCATACGCCTGTCCGACGTGTCCATTTAACCGTGGATTGTCTCTGGCTGTTGCCGCTTTAAAACTTCCGTTGTGTAGCCGTGAATCGAACGGAATAATTTCACAAATTTCTAATTATTTAATTTAATTAATTGTGCGCGTGTTAGTAGGCGCGTTAGGCGAGTAGAAATTTACGTGCCGTCGTACGGTTGATGTTTTCGCAGAGATTCAAGCTTCACGGGCTCGTTTATTCGCACTTAAAGTAACAACGTCATTGCATGCGAAAACAGAGCGTAACAGTGCGTGGTACAGTTACTCGATGCTTTTTTTTTGACGTATTCGCCACAGGCTCTCGTCTAGGCCTCTCTTCCCTCCACTTACGAGCGTTTTACGATGGGCAGGCTGGAGGGTCTTCCTCGGAACCTAAACTGGGTCGATTCGTATCGAAAGGAATTCCGCGACGTTAATGTTGTATAATTCGCGCAGTGAATATCCTGAGAACGATAAAAGTTGCGCGCACGTGTGCTGCCATTATCGATCGATCAAATAATTCTACCTCGGCATTGTTTGCGATTTTTCTTTCTTTTTTTCTTTTTCATCGAACGGAGATAATTCGAAACACCGCCGGCTTTACGAGTGTATATCGCGGGACAAGTAAGGAATGCCTCTAAATACCGGTTATGGCCAATGCTGCAATGACTACGCGCGCGCGCTGTTCATTGCTACTTCGCGGGATGCAGGATTTACAAGACGGTTAAACGTTCGTTTGTGATGCAAGCCACCGTCGATGAATGTATACGTAGGTATTTCTCCGATATTTTCAGAGATCGAAACTCGCGCCGAGGTATCCCAATTCTCTCTCGTAAAAAAAAAACTCAACTCTTTTTACGTTCGATGTATGAAATCACTGAATCGTAAGTCGGTACAATCGTGCCGTTTTATAATACAGCGCAAGTAACATTTCAAGTTACGCAATGCGACGCTGTAATACAGATTTATTTTTACGACAGTGAAATATATGAGATAAATTAATATATTTATACGATATGATATATTCCTCAGCTTTAGAGGCAAGTATAATGTTACACGCCGCAAATGATTCTTTAAAGTCGCCAAGTTAATCAAACGGAAAGTGAAATCGCGATAGAGCTATGAAAGTTCGCTTTTATCGCTGCCAGGAAGTTAATGTCGCGGTCGGATAAGGATCGAACGCGTCGCGAGTTCGATGCACGGATCCGGCGGCGTTATTTGTCATATGGCGCGCCATATAATATCGGCAATCACACTGGCCATTGACGCCTTCGCGGATAGACCGACCGACCGGCCGGCCGCGGCCGGTGTGTTCCGCGTGCCCGGCGTGTCTGGTGACCAGAGTACCGTGCAATCGTTTCTGATCGACGGAATATATCCGCGACCGGGTTTGTTGTATACGGCGCGCCAGTTTTATGTACTGGCCACGCGCGACGGACACGCATTACCAACACCGCGCACCGCGCATTAAATTACGCGTATCCGTGTCAAACGCGTCGTTACGGAATTGCTTATAAACCGTTAAAAACGGCGGATGATGCCCGTCGTTCGACGATTTTTCTTAATCGCGCTCGCGCGTGGAGGCGCGCGTATACGAGCGATCGAGGATTACGGTAAGGCGCATCGGCGATACGGTGTCGGCTCTTTGAGGTTTCTTGAGGTTTCTTTCCCGCTCTTTCCGTCACCTACTTTAATCAATACAGCATAAGATGTCTCGTGGAATCGCGTCTTGCTTAGCGAAAAATTTAACGTAGCGCAGCGCGACTTTTTATATCTTTCTACCTTATCAAATAAATAGTTCCGAATTATAGTTTCTGTTTGAACGAAATGCGATTAAGTAAATTTAGTGAGAAACAAAACTGGAAATATTAAGTCACAGAAGTATGACGTCTTCAAATTTGGATACATTGATTGATTATAACTCGCGAATTCAAGTTTAACGCGTTCACTAGGACGCGGCGTCCAAGAATCTTTACGGCGTCGCGACGTTCGCGTCTCTCGATGCCGCGTACGTCGTAAAACCGGACGGTTGCCTAACGTTACGATTTACCGCGAATCGCGCGGGAGATCTCAGTTTAATGCGCGGGACTGGCAGTTTAATCGCGCCATGGCGCAATAATCCCATGGGAAACGTCTCCGCCTTTTGCGAACGTCCGATCCGTATCGAGCCCGGCGGAGAATTTGAGTCCCCCCCAGTGAACGATCTTACAAGTCATCCTCGGCAACACACCCGTCGCGATAGATCGTCGGACAAATGACGGAAATGATCGCGGCGGGTGTGTATGTGTAATAGCGCGGGACCCGATAAAGACTCGCTTCCTGGTATCTCGCGAGGGAGATACTTCAGGAACCGATATGCACCTTCCCGCGCCGTTGTTCTGCAGCCCCATGGTATTTGACAGAATAGTCGTTAGCACCTCGTACAACGCCGGTTGTGCCGTGAAACGATTTGCCAGATACGTTGCGTAATTGTTGTAATAAACGATCCTTATTATCATAGCGAGGCGCTCAACAGACGGGGCGTGAAAGAAACGGTAATTACGCGCTCCCGCGATACGCGTTAAGGCCTCATCGTTGCATCGTCCGGAAACGGCCGGCCGTGAGTCGCTTATTCAACCGATAATTTATTTGCTCTCGATTAACTTCGCCGCCGGGAAATGTTATGTTACGCGTGTAAAACTCATGCATTTTTTTCAAGATTTATTCACTCGCGGAAGCATCACGATACAACAAATTATTTGAAAATGCATTTTCTAAGATCGATTAGCAACGTGCATAATTTCTCCATTCAGACGAACATAACATTTTAAAGAAATGCATTTACTTCCTTCCTTATTTACTTTACCATGATGTATAAAGCGAAAATATTAGATATCAGTTTTACTAATATCATGCATAATTGTTTAGTTAGATAAATTTGAAAAAAAAAACGCGTTTTAAAATATTCTCTTTTCTCTGCTGTAAAATATTCAGCTGCCGAGCGTCAGCTTTCTGAGATTTTTGTACGCGGACTCGTCTGCTTCTCGCCTTACATGCCTTATATTCCGCGCGCGCGCGAGGCGCATTTTTCTTGGTTCGACGCAAAGTGCCGGACATGCAACGTTACGTAATGATAATAATAAGCCATCTTCGTAGTATCAGCCGTGAAAGCTACGCTGCGAGTGGTTATTATTATTGCGGCACACGCGGCTCGCGTAAGACGAAAAGAGGAAAAACGTCATCGTGAAATTATTATCTAATGAAAATGAAACGACGCAACATACACATGAGCGTCGCTTGACCGTCGCCGCTGAATCGGAAAAAGTTTGCCGACCCCGCCGCGATATCGCAACGCGAAACACGTTTTACGCAAGAACTCACGTTTTACGCTCGAGGGACGCGTAACGGATAGGCACGAGAGTTATTGATTTCTTTCTATTTTTAACGATACGTATCGTTGCTTGAACGTTACGCGCGAGAAGAAACATTATTTTAATTGTGAAATTTTCGTTGCAAATCTGCAGATTTTCATCCCGTTATCTTGAAAAAAGCGCGAATCAATTATGTAAAGTGAAGATATTGATTGTAATATCAAATTGTGTGCTGCATCCTCGAAGCTAGAAAATTCTGCAATTAAGATCATGATAATAATGTTGAAGAAAGCGCTGATTGCACTTTCCCGCTATAAAAAAATATGCGAGATACGTTATATATGTCGTTTGGATAATTACAAAAATACATTTTTTTACTTTAACAATATGTATTTACATTAAATATTATAAAATATATATTTCAACGAATACATTTTGGCGAAAAATCAAACAATCGTGTACATATATGCAATAATAATTATTTACGCATAACGAAGTCAGGTTTACTCAATGTCATGTAGTAGACTCATTTTACGATTATACACATGGCTGCCGAAGTCAGTAGTTAGTAATAGATTTACGTTCGCTCGCCGACAAAGTGGTGGAACCTCGATTTTAATTGCCACGGCCTAAGCACTCGTTAGCTCCGCTCAATTATAGCACGGTGAAACGAGGAAGTGGAATAAAGTTAACGCCAATCGCTCGGATCCGCATTGCTGGGCATCGCTGCCGCTAGTCATCGGATTTCATTTGTTTATCGCCTCTATTTGTAATGACTAGCCGATATTTCAAGTGTCATAACACGCTACTTGAAAAGGCGTCGAGTTGCATTACTTGATAAACAGTGCGGTCTAACGAACGAAACGTTATAGATTGCAGATTATCTTTTATTTAAAATGAGTTATTGAATTATTTATTTTTGACACTCAAGCTAAACTACCGAGAAATTTATTAATGTCAATGCGCTCGTTCGTATCCATTTTCTCTAAATATCGCAGACATTTATTACCCTGAAAACATTACTTGTTATTGTGAACCAGTTTTCTAATTTTTGACGAAAAAATTATAGATGGAGATTGAAAGGATCAAGCTTCTTTGCTTTAGATTGAAACTGAGAATTGTCGTGTGGGCGTATACGAATGCTGATATATATCAGAGACAATGTATCGAGCCACAATATTGCCGGTAACGTAACCGGCTTCGGTACGAAATGCGAACACTTTCGCCGCATCTCTCCGATCGAGGGCGATTCGCACGTTCGTCGGGTGGAACGAGCGTCTCCCGCGAATTCCCGAGACGGAGACGTACGAAACGCGACGCCGCGGATGTCCCGCGAATCCCGTCACGCGAGTACCATTATGATCCGGTTTAGAGCCGTGTCGTGGAATCCAGGTAAAGCGAGCCTGTCTCGCGCGCGCGCGAATAAAACGTTCTCGCTCGTTTAACGGCAACAATCGCGTTCTCACTTTCGATAAACCGCTCGTAAGAAAACCGCACGGACATAAGTAAAGGCCGCCCGGTGCCGTATGTACCTCAATGTACCTGTGCACGCGGAATATCCTCTCAGGGGGAAGGCGGGGACGGGAATATCCTCGCATATGTGTCGCCGCGCGTAACGACGTGGACTTGATGTGTACATCGCGCTTAAGCATGCGTGTACACGCCGTTTTGCGCGCGCAAGAAATTCCTGATCAACGCCCGTAACTCCTCATTAAGCGGATTCGTTTTGTGCTGTGGACGTAAATGATACACAATTTTTAGGGAAAGTATATATTTTATTCATGTATATTTAAAAGAGATAATATATTTGATAAAACTTTAGCAAAAAACATACGTATCATAAAAGCCTTAAATATTCGTTGTCACGAATATTATTAGTTGAATAGTATAATGAAAACGAGATTTATATCATCTTAATGTTTTAATCACGAAATTTTTTATAAATTAATTTAATACACAAATTTTTGCGATGTCAGCGATTTATTCCTCGAGATGTATATAGCATAAGTAAATGTAATCATTTCTGGTTAGATTATAGCCTTTTTTAAATTTTGTTTTTGTCACTATTTCGTTTGTATTACTATCGTGTTTCGTAGTAGTACAACTATCAACTATCAACTAAAAATCAGATGTAAATATTAGTCATACATTGAACAGTGATTGTGGCATGATAAAAAAAAAAAGAAATCGTAAAAAAAGTAATAACCGACTCCTCCTCGAGGAATCGAGGTGACCGAGTTTTCAAGGTTTAACCTGTATCCTTGGCAACAAGTTGAAATGTACATTTATAAAATACTTTTGCATCGCGCTGGCACGACGACGTCTTCATTATTAACGCACACGTTCACAATTCCTGGAACGAAAAGAGTCGAGAGGAGAATACGTTGTTGCAAACGCAAAAATATATACATACTTGCGATGTACATTCTCTGTCGAAAAAAAAATAAATAAATAAAACTGTCAGGGGGTTTAAATGATCCGATGCACTTGTATTTCCACTCTCATTTTTATCGCGAGAGAGCGGTTGCAACTAATTTACCACACTTGAGACAAGAGGGAGATCTTCCCGTCCGTCCCCCCGAGTGACTTCATTCATCGGCGTCGGGCTCCCCCGGGAGTTTATCAAAGCGAGCAACTATATGTGAGAAATCAATTATCCAGATTAGCGTCGCGAGATAAGGGGCCTATTATGCCGTCGTTAAATCTTAATTACGTTCAACGTCCGCGCTCTCATTCCGTGTTCACCGGAATAGCGCTGTCGGCTACGCTCTCCTGCCGCTCGATGCCGTGAAATATATCTCCATTATTATTAAGTCCGGCGACATCTCGCCGTCGCCGTCGCCGTCGATGCCGGACGCTATAAGCTTGATCGCGATGGGCAGGAGCTCCGGCCGCGGGCGATCGTAGTCGAAGAAAAAATCGCGAAGCGAAGGAGAGAGAAAAAGAAATAATTACCCTTCAAACTTTATAATATTCATCTAAATTGGACTCTCGATCTGGACGGAACGCGGTTGTTGAATCAACTTGAAAATAGTTGTTCCTATCGTTGTTTTTATCGCAAAATCCAAAGATATTGAGATACGTCATCCGTATGTAAAATTGGTCGACAAAAATGAGAGAGATGGGACGCGAAGATGGCCAGTATGATTAGTAGTCTGGAAAGCCATATTTTACAAAAGGATAGGCTAACTTCACGCGCGTATGTTTTTTCATATTATTATTTATAATTTTTACCAATCATCGAGAATGGACTACCAAACGTCAATAAACAGTCACCAAACGAATGCTTGTAGTTATGATTACTTACACAGTCTGAAAAGCCATATTTTGCGAAAGGAGGGACTAACTTCACGCGCGTATATCTTTCTTTCGTATTATTATTTGCAACTTTGACTACTATTCATCGGGAATGGACTATCAAATATTACCAAACGACCACCAATCGAGTGGTAATGGTCATTAGTAGGGAGATCAACTTCATACAGCTCGTTTCCACTCGCCTGAAGAGATCTACACATGAAATGAAAGCTAGGACCGAGCGAGAAGAGAGAGAGAGAGAGAGAGAAAAGAGCAGAAAAAATGAAGGAAAAAACGGACCAAAGAGGCGCAAATGCAAACTAATCGCGCCGTGATTGGCTGTATTCATGCGGTCGACGTTTGCGGTCCTTTCTTGATCCATTGATGGATGGATCGTGGGTTTGTCCGTCCAATATCTGACCGAACTCAATCTGTCTTTCCTTCTCCGGAGCTGCGCGCGTGCACGTCCCTGCTGGCACGCATGCCTCGCGCGTACGCACACGCGTGTCGGCGCACGTTAAGGTATGCACTTGGGTCAACACGAGAGACATGTGGGGAGGGAGAGGAGAGAGATCGCGTATTATAGTGCCGTGGTGCCGTACTCGGGCGAGGCTCTTAAATCCCTAACGACGAGGCTTAAATCAATCACCGTAATTAACGTGCGCTTTGTACCGCTAGAGCGTAGATTAGAGTGTTCTTATTGCACGCGGCAGGATACGTCTATTCGCGCTCGCTCATCGTGTCGGGCTAGTGTCTATACCGTTCGTCGCATTGATTTAACAGTCAAAAATACGGAAGGCGAGGCCCCTGTATTAATTAGTTCCGCCGTCTACTCGTGAGCATTGCGCGAAGTCATGAATCCCTCAATTTCTTTTGTCCCTCTTTAACGTGGAATATCATTAAAAAAAAAAGATAAGAATCTCAGTTTTTATATTAGTCTTTATCGCACTCATTGTTTTTAAATTAGATTTATCTGTGCACGTTATTAATTTACAAATCACGGGTATTCTGTAAAGATTAAAGCGATGGGAGGCAACTTATTGTTAGAAAATTATTATGTTATTAATAAATTCCGTTAAAGTTATTATTAGTAATTTAGAGATAAGTGATACAACAGTGGTAAAAATACGCGATCGTTTGTTTTCGATACACTTTGCGAGTATCTAAAGCGTATCTCGTGCAAGCAGATGATTAACCTCCCGACCTAAAATTAATACTGACACGGCGAATAATTGGTCGCGCTCCGATAATTCCGAGACGTGACTTATCGGTGCGATAAGTCGCGTAAAAAAATTCAAATTTCGATCGCGATTCGACCGATCGGCAACCGAGGCTGAACCCATTGTTAGCGTAACGCGTACGGCTTTTGACTTAAAAGCGGCGCGGCCGAGTGAACATCAGACTGATTTTTCGCACACGATTCCGCGCTTTGCTATAGACAATTAACGACGCTGGGGCTTGCTCCGTTGCAGAGGCTATGATTCAATTGCAGTTGCGCCAATGCACTGCTTAACGGCCGAACGTAACGTTTATCGCTCATACCGTCGCAGACGGATGCGTATAACTAATGGAAGGTCCGCGTGGCCGACAGGAGTAATGAAATTTTATGTTTCTCCCCGTAACGGAGGGAGAAAAACGCTCAACGTCCGGCGTCGCACGGTCTGGGCGTCGGCGTAATTAGCTCGAAAATTGGCGTGACAACGCTAATGCCGAAAAAGACCGTAATGAGACCATTATTCCGCTACACTTTCGCCCCTTCGGGGGAACGGACACGCACGTACCTGCGCGCGCAAATAATAACTGTTATGCAATCAGGCCGGTTTTATCGCGTCCTTGCACGAAGCCGACGAGCAAATATAACCGGGGAGCTCCATGGATCTCTAACTTCTTTGTAAATTAAATTGCGCGTAAATTAAACACGCTCGCACTCATTATTTCTCGCCGTACCACCGGTGTGTTCAAGGTAACGCGAGCCATTATTGTTCGAGCGCTCGCCGCGCTTTGAGTTCCCATTTTCCCTCCAGCGATCCAGTTCCCTCGCCCTCGCGCGCGGAACGGTATTTTAAGGCGGTCGAGAAGGAAAAAAAAAGAGGAGAATCCTCTCCGCAACTCTCCGCTGATACTCATCACCGTATTTCACACGTGCGCGCGAAGGAGGAAAAAAAAGACCGTACTGATTTTTCGCGAGTTAACAGCGGTCTGTCGCCCTTCGGGATAACTGTAATCCCTAGTCCATTCTTCGGGCGCATGAACCGTAACCGACGGTTGACAAGCTTATCAAATTGCACGCCTATTTGAGATTCTCATTACACGCATTACAATGGATGACGCGGTGATATCTATCATTATGCACACACACGAGGGTCGAGGAAGGCCGGTCAGTGCTTTCATCGGGTAGCGTGCGCACGTGAAAACTCGGCTCGAGAAACGCGAGGTCGTTGATGATGATGCAATGAGAAGACATTTGAAAACTGACTTGATAGATCAACATGAATGTAAATCAACGATTAAATCGTTATGGGTAGTTTCTTCTTAATCGAAGAAAAATACTTTTATATTTTTTTTTCTGTGATAATGTAAAAAGGATTTTTTCTCCATTGACAAAAAAAGTTGTTAAAATAACTAAACGCGTTTTGTTGAGTTTTTCTTTGATTTAATTATATATGTTTTTAAATTAAACATACATCAATAACATTAACATGATATTTTTGTGAATTAACAAGTATTTTGTTGAATTAACAAATATTTGTTTGACAGCCCGTGACCGCTATCTGTATAGAATCAAGAAATATTCAATTGATTTTACACTTTTTTTATCTCAATGTCGATTAAAAAACAATCACTAGTAACGAGTTAAACATCAATAATTTAATAAATCAACCATTAAATCGTTATAAGTAATTATTTTTTAATTGAGAAAAAAATCATTTTTAGTGATAGATAGTTTGTTAGTAATAATTTTATCAATATAATTTACAAAAATAAGTTACGCATTTCTTATTCTGATGTTATTACATCTTGATAAAGTTCCAAGTATATTCCGTATCTCTAATATTTGCAATTTATAATGTGGTCTTTCAAATATAGCTTCTTCTATATATAAACGGTTATTTAAAAAATTCTCGACGAATATACACGAAATTATGAAGCGAACATTTAACGCGTTCAACGTCTTGCATCGTCCGAGCGGTTAACATGGCCTCGCGCAGATCTCGCCGATACCACGCACGAGTATCTACATTTTCATATGCTGATTCTATCAAACGCAGCCACGTTGGAAACTCGAATCTCATTAATTCCGCCGAGCCGGCCGTAGCACCTAAATAGTCGGAAAGCAGCGACCATGGCTGACAGCTTCGGTTGTTTATCCCACCAAGCTGTTCCTGCCGAGGTATTTCCAAGACTCCGCTGTCTTACTGATTCCGTCGATGGTTGCACGGAAAAACTTATCGTCGCGTGTCCCAACGTCAGGGAGCTGTTCCTCTTTTCGACGTAGACACGTTAAACCTGCTAAATCCAGTGAAATCGGACTTTAAGACTCGCACCAGTAGAACGCTATACATTGAGAGAAGCAAATGCGAATTGATGAATATAGTCTTATGCGAAAGTATGCAGGGGGGGAAAATAAAGAAATTTATTTTACGGAGAACCAGAATAGTTCCTATCCTTAAGGATTTCTTCCCCTCAATGCGTGTTTGCATCCTCCTTTTCGCTTCCAATTTCTCATCCGCTTCTGGGATCCGCGTGCAAATGGGCTAGGCCCCGACCATGCACGTGCGCGTAATTCGCGCATATTCACGTGCACGGCCACGTGTGACGGGCTACGCCGGTGCGTACGCGCGCGCTCTTTAAACAGCAGCGCTGTTCTCAACAAAACAAGTGGTCTAGCCAGTCCACGAGCAAATTACCCACACTTATTCCACGGCCACGTACGTAAGCGAGCAGCCAGGACGTCTTCATCCCGACAACGGCGGGCTGCTGCTGTTGCTGCAGCTGCAGCCGATGCACCGCGAACGAGCGCGCGCGCGCCGGCCTGTCCCGTTGCTCAGCCGGCCATGATTTTTCCGGTCTCACGCACGATCGGTTCCATCGATAATTATCGACGTCACTTCTATACCCGTGACGTGCCTCCTTCGTCTCCGGAGAGTCGCACCATGAATCTGCATGACCCCTCACAGGACGCTGACCCGCGTGTTTTCGTTCGCAGACCTGCAAGTGAAGAGTAGTTCCTCCACGGTCGGGTGACGAGTGAATTGAACGGTTCCTTAAGATTTGCTCAGACTATTCTGTATTGTAATTATTTATTCTTAAGAAATTGATAATTATTGAGATAAACGCAATAAGACAGAAAATAACTATTATATAGGACGGTCAGTCGACGCAGTTTTTCTACGGTGTGAAATTCGTCTTTAGGAGGCAAGTTAGATCTTCGCGTCCTCGCGCGCGAGTGCATCCAGATCGTGGTCGTGTTCACGGATGACGCGTAAAGTCACTCCCACGGGTCCCGGTTTTAGCGATTTATCTACCCGCGATCCTGTTATTCCTTGAGTCGCAACGATCTCGGTAAATATCGCGATCGGCGCGATAAAGCGGCACCTTACGCGGCACAATACCGTCGTTTACGCTCCCTTCGAGTGCGAAGCAGCAACCGCGTCGTTCAAGTGAAGTTCGCGCAACGGTGTCCACCGCGAGGAGCGTGCGAAACCACGACGGATTAATGGACCATTCCATTTTACTATAACTGAATAATAACTGGAAACGAGACTTGTATATGCGCGCTCGCTCGCGCGCGCATATTTTGCGCGCGTACGTTGATAACTTCCGAGTCGTGCGAATCGTCCACTACAAATTTGTGCGACGTTTTAATCTTGAGCTTTACGGTAATATCAAGCGCGATACAAGATAACTGGATATTTACGTGTTAAATACCCAAGCGTTCACCAGGCGAA